TCAATGTTGACAATGAAGACATTGAAATAGTGAAAAGGTTTGTATACATATATTTTTGTATACATCAATCCTAACGGAGAATGCAGCCAAGAAATCAGAAGAAGACTGAGGAAGGGCAACAATGAAGGGAATAGAAAAGATCACAAAGTACAGTGGTGACTCAACTTACGAACATCCAGACTAACGACCATTTTGAGTTACGACCAACTCCGGTCGCAAAATTTTGCTTCAACTTGTGGCCAGAGCTTCCACTTACAAACAAAAAAAGGGTTGCTATTGCCGCTTGCTTTCTCTTTTGCTTTCTTTGCATTTCCAATGAGTCTTGCACTATCTGCTCGCTTTTTGCTTTGCTTTCTTTGCATTTCCGATGGGTCTTGCCGGAAGGGATTAATTGCTTTTCTGATGGGTCTTGCAGTGATTTATTAATTATTATTTTTTGATTATTATTTTTTCCGGCCGGAATGGATTAATTGCATTTCAATGCATTCCTATGGGGAATGGTGCTTCGATTTACGCCCATTTTGAGTTACGACTGGAGTTCCAGAACCAATTAAGTTTGTAAGTCAAGGCACCACTGTATAAGGCTTTATTTGTATTTATTTTATTTGATTTGATTTTTCCCCCGCCCCTCTAGACCATGTCTACTCAGGGTGGCTGGAGACCAAGACCACGATCATCCACACTCTTGTATTCCCAGTCACCATGTGAAAGCTGGACAGTAAAGAAAGCTGACAGGAAAAAAATGATTCATCTGAAATGTTGTGCTGGAGGACAGCCTTGATGATACGTTAAACTGCCAGAAAGATGAACAAGTGGGTCCTAGATCAAATAATGCCTGAATAATCCATGGAGGCAAAAATGTTGAGGCTGAGAAAGGTGGAAGGCCAGCAGGAAAACAGGAAGACACATGAGATGAACTGACTCCCTAAAGGAAGCCACAGGTTTAAGTTTATAGGAGCGGAGCAGGGCTGTTGAGGACAGGACATTCTGGAGATCACTCATTCATAGGATTACCATAAGCAGGAAGTGACTTGACGGAACATAACAGCAAGAGCATGAAACATATTACCAAGGCTGCGACACTATCATTTAGTTATGTTTCCTTGCAGCAAAGCCATCCTCCTTATCATTCCTGGGAGGTGGGGACTCAATACTATTACAAGGGCTTTTTCCGCACTATCTATGCTGTTTGTCGTTTTCCTCTTTTGATGTATCAGATTCCAATTCCATTTGCAAGACAAAGAAAATACTGTGGCCGTTTAACGGGACAAGTTGTACATTTTAGTTAAGAGATCAGCAACTTCATTCTTCAATTCCTTAATAACCCTCGGGTTGATGCCATCTGGGCCCGGTGACTTATTGAACTTCAATTTATCAATTAGGTCTAAAACATCCTCTCTTTTAACCTGTATCTGCTTTAATTCATAGTCAGGAGGGGCCATTTGGGTAGCGGAATCTGCCCAAGGTCGTCTGTCATGAAGACAGATGCGAAGAACTCATTAATTTCTCTGCAATCTCCAAGTCCCCCTTTCCCTCTCCTTCCCCTCCCTCACCATCCAGAGGGCCAGCCGCTTCTCTGGCAGGCTTCCTGCTTTTAACATATTTAAAGAAGCTTTTATTATTCCCCGTTATCTCAATGGTCACTTGTTCCTCAAAGTCCTTCTTTACCTTCCGTATCATCTTCTTATATTTCTTTTGCCAGAGTTTGTGTTCCTTTTTATTTTACTCATTTGGGGAGGATTTCCATTTACCCTTCAAAACCTCTGGAGAGATTGGATTCTTTTTACCTTCCCTTTCAACTTCTTTCTAACTAGTTTCCTCATCTGAGGGACAGTCACTCTTCGGAAATCAAGAGTTTTTGTGTCAGATTTGCTTGACACTCTCCCCCCAACATGCATGGCGAAAGGGATCGCAGCATGGTCACTATTCCCTAGCGGCTCTGTGACATTCACGTTCCTAACCAGGTACCACATAAGATTAAATCCGGAGTCACCTATCCTCTGGTGGCCTCCATGACAAGTTGCTCCAAGGCACAGTCATTTAGCGTGTCAAGAAACCCAGTTTCTCTTTCTTGAACCGAGCACACATTGGACCAGTTGAGGTGAGGATAACTGAAGTCTCCCATGATTGCAATCCTATCCCTCTTGGACACCTCCCTGATCTGTCTCCTCATTCCAAAATCCCCCTCAGGTTTTTGATCTGGAGGATGATAGTACACCCCCACTATCACTTCGCTCCTTGGGTCTAGTAGTTTAACCCACAGTGATTCTATGATGGAGTCAGACCCACCGTCCATCTCCATTCTTCCGGATTCTACCCCTTCTTTGACATAGATGGCCACCCCACCTCCAACACAGCCCTCCCTATCCTTCCTATAGAGTGTATAGCCTGGGATTGCGGTACCCCACTGAATTCCACCAGGTTTCCATTATGGCCATTATATCAATGTTATCCCTAGCCACCAAATGTTCCAGCTGTCCGATCCTTGCTCAGACATTTTGGGCATTTGCATAGAAGCACCTACATATGGGGTCCCCCAAAAAGGGCTGCTTGCTTGTTTCTTTTTTCCCCACAGCTTCTCCTTCCAGCGGACCAACTATGACGTCCCATCATGCTCCCAGTCCTAATTCCTACATTGTTATCACTTTGTGGTTCTCTACTCTCTCCACCCTCATTCCACAGGGATAAGGAGCCCTGAACCAGATGCTGCTCGGCTCCTGTCGGCTTTCCCCCAGGGTTCAGTTTAAAAGCTGCTCTACCACCTTTTAAATGTTATGCGCCACACATTGAGACCCCTGAGCTCTGCCTGCCCAGCTGGCCCTGCGTGTGGAACAGGTAGTGCTTCTATGTTCCTGACAATCAAATTGCCCACTACCAGAAACCCTTTCTCCTCTCCCCACAAGGAGCATCCTCAGTTCAACTGGATACCAGCCCGTCACCTGAAGAAGGGGTCCCCCCTAGGGGATGGTTTCCCTCTTGTCCAGAATGGCGTCCTCCAGCCCAGAGACTTCCAATCCCAGCAGCTGAGGAGCTGCTTGTCTGTGGGTGGGACAAGTAGTTCCTTCTCCCTCTTCCCTCCAGCAAGGGCACTCGCTAAGAGGGCTGGTTTTTATGCTCCTTTCTAGCTCCTCCTCTTGCCCTTCTGGGTGACTGCAAAGGGCTGAAGAGGCCTGCAATCACTACTCTACAAGGCCAGGAGGACAATGGAGCCCTGATTAGAGTACTCCCTGGGGCCTGTAGCACCTCCTGAATCAAATTTACCTTTGAGAATACAAATTTGCAACTCTGAAAGGGTTAGCTGCCTTGAACTCTTGACCTCTTAATTCCAGCTGACCTTTGGACTGGTCTGTTTTAAACCTGTGTGTAGACCCTAAGCTGGTCCCCCTCAAGTTTAAACTTATAGGCTTTAGGGTTTTAGAACTCTGGCAGAGTTTAAATCTAGGTTTTAAGTTTCAGTCTAGTTATGCTGTGATACTCTAGCATTTTGGTATTTCAGCTATTTATATTCCCATTGTAGCAACTGTTTACCATGCAAACACAAAAGGCACATGCTGAATACAATAATCTTCTAACCCTACCTGGGGCACAGAAAATATTCCAGGATTCCAGTTTTCATTCAGATCACACAGTTCTACTTAGCCAGAGGTGGGATTTCCATTTGTTGATAAGTAAGAGTTCAGCTTTTTCCCAAAACAAACAAAAACACTGAGACAAATCCCAGCTTCAGTCTTTGACATCTCTACACAGAGCACAGAAAGACCATTGATGAAATGCTGGAGAGCCTCTGCCAGTCAATATAGGCTAGTTGTTAGAAACCTCTGGCCCTCCAGATGTTTCAGGGGGCAACACTCATAATCTCCTTCAATTGGCTATGCAGTCATAGCCTCTGGAGGCTGAAATCCAAAACTGAGAGGCCCAAAGAATACACTAAGCTTGCAAGTTAGTATAAAACAGTTTCCAATGAAAATACCCCAATTAAATCCAGCCAAGGTACTGTAGCTCTACCTTTTGTGACAAGACTCAGACCCTTATCAGATAGAGAAAACATAAGGAAGCCAGCAAGACAGCTCCCAGTGAAAAACTACTCTGGGACCAAGTGCATATCTCAGTACTAAATGTGTTTATCATCTGTGTCCGTAGCATGTTCTCAAAGATATAAGGCCAACTCTGCTAGCAGGAAGAGTGAGGCCGTTACTTCAAATGGCAGACCCGGGGATCATGAACCCCACAGTAAATCTGGGGAGCACTGGTGACTTAACTCAGTCTGGACTTGGGTTGTTCTATTTTTCCAAAGATTTGGACTCAACTCAGAACCCGCCTACCCACTCCTTTTTTTCGGGGGAAAAAGTTTTGTTTTTAATGGGAACTCGGTACCAAAGACTTAGACTTGGGACTCGGACCCAAAGACTTGCCGACATCCCTGGTATCAAGGTGCAACAGGGAGAGTTTTCTGGGGGAAAAAGTTTTGTTTTTAATAGGAACTCGGTACCAAAGACTTAGACTTGGGACTCGGACCCAAAGACTTGCCGACATCCCTGGTATCAAGGTGCAACAGGGAGAGTCCTTTTCGATTTACTGTATTTTTTTATTTCTTGCCGTGTGTGCCAAAGTAACGTGGCTGGCAGTCTACACTTTGAGGACGGCGGGTGAGCGACCGTGGCCCGTGGCCCTCTGTCGTGCTGCCTCGGGCAGCAAATGCCTCAGGATGGCTCAGCTGGACTAACAACCCCTCTACTGTACCACCACAGCCCCGCTTTTGGCAGAGGATAAATAATTCCTCAGAGGTTTGCCTCCTCAATTCCGCCCAGCCTTCCTGGAACTTCCTGGAAGATCCCATTCCGCTTTTCCGAGGTAAAGAGGTGCCCCCCCCGCCTCCCTGCGCGCCAGGACACACTCCGAGCAAAGAAAGGGAAAGGGAAACAGCCACATATGGTGAGTTCCCCCCCCCAAAAAAGGGAGGGCCCAGCGGCTGCGCGCGCGCGCCCACAGCCCCGACTCACCAGTTGCGAAACCTTGAGCGACAATCGCAGAAGGCCCAAGTGGCCGATGGAGCAACTTCTCCAGAAGGGGCCCTTGCCCGGCGTCGCCCCCGCGGGCACGGTGGTTCCGACGTAGACCTGGTCGCCGTTCTCCATGGCCTCGAAGGAGCAGAACGGAGGAGCAGCGACGCGTCCTGCAAGAAAACGAAAGGAAAAGGCGGCCCCGCCTCAGTTCCCCAAACAGGTGGGCGATGCCGGTGCAAATGCTTGGCCTCGGCAGCAACAGGAGGAGGAGGCGCGGCTCCCCGCGGTGGCGGCGACGGGATTTCCCGGGTCCCTTCTTTCACGGAAGGGAAGCAAAAGCGCCGCTTGTCGCTTCCGAGGGCAAAATGGAAACTGGAGGAGGAGGCGGCAGGGCTGAGGGAACCTCGTCAGCAGCAAGAGTCGGGCAGCCTCAAGCCAATTCCCCGCACAGGTCCAGCCTGTTGTTTGTAAGAAGGCAACCTGTTGCCGGGACTGCCCGTTAATCCAGCCCTGAGGTGTTGCGCATCAGGTCCCGAATGCCTTTCTCGCCCGCTAAACAGATTGGGCCCCTCCTTTTTTGCAAATTAAGCTCCCTCTCAGCAGAATCTAGGAGCTCACTTCTCGAGGTTACAAAGCGGCAGTAATACGGAAGAGGCGGCAAGTCTCACATATGCTAACAGGAAACACTGCACTTTAAAGTGGACTCTCTGCTTTTCCTCTTGCTGCGAGCGTGCTTCATTTTAGGCATCGGAACTAATGCTTTTTTTGCATATGGGAAAACACAAAAAGCGATTTGTGCTTACCTTACCAAAATGGCCTTTTAAATTGTAGCGTAAAGACAGAATCATCAAGACAGAGCATCAAGATTATCTCCATCACTTCACAGTATAATACAGAAGACAAGCTTACTTTGTTTCTATGCACATTATGTTACTACTACCTTTTATCACCTTATTGAATAAGATACATTGGAAGTGTCACCTTTAAATGGCCTTCCACTGCCCATGTGTATTTACACATCAGTATTGGTGAGTGCACTAATGTATACAGTGACAAACAGTGGTGTACAATTGTAATTATTTGATTTATGTCCTGTTTATGAACTTCCCATGGGCATCTAGTCGGCCACTGTGTAAACACCGTGCTGTACTTTGTGAGCCTAGACTAGATTAGGGAAGCTGAAGAAAAGTGGTGATTGAAATCCAGTACTGAAAGAGAAAATCCACAAAAGGCCCATAACTCCTTTAACATGCATTAAAATATTAAGTAGTAGGGATATTTGAAAATACAAAACAATGCTCAATATTGATGGAAAGTACGGATTCTCCCATTCTTGACCTCAAAGGTAAAATCACGTGTTAAGTGAGGTCATAGAAATGTTTTGGAGACAACAGGTCAAGACATCTTATTGTACCAGGTATTGATACTGGACCAGATATATAGAAATCTGAAATACAGTGTGGCTAACAAAAACAAAACAAAACAGCCCAGAGAAGTTCCTGGACTTTATGTATTCACAGAAGCATGTGTTAATAGAATGTCTTCATACTTTTTCTTCAAATGATAATCTTAATGAGCTATTTGCTTAAGGTTTCTTTTTAATGATTCATGACAGAATTTACAAGGTGTGAACCAGAAGCAGGAAATGTAAAATCCGCAGTCAGAAGATTGGATCTAAGGAAGTCATGGCTCTGCATACATGTAAACAAGGATATGTATATTGCTTTACTAACTACACAAAAGCTTTTGACAAGTACAACATGGCAAACTAATGGAGCTGTTGGTGAACAGATAGTGATTGAAAAGAAGTCATAATTGGCAACCTGTACTGGAAACAGAAAGCTACAAGGATATATACTAGGGGATGCTGGTAAGTATTGAGCCTTACCCAGAAAAAAATGAGCTAGGAAGCTGTAACTGCCACACTAGTCGACATATTACCCCAGGAAGTCAATGCACTTGCAACATCTGTCCTGCAGCTTCTTAAGTCCCTGCAAATAAAATTCTTCCAACTGCTGGTGTAACCACTCATTTGCAGCATTACTGTAGTTGCCTCCAGAACACTCCCAAATCATTGTCCCTTTAGGTATTTTTGGAGTTTGAGGAACAGGTAATAGTCGGAAGGAGCCAGGTCGGGAGAACAGGGTGGATGGGGCATCACCTGAAAGCCTAAGGATGTCAGTTTTGCCATTGTTTCACCTGCAGTGTGTGACGAGGCATTGTCATGCAACAGAATGACACCTTTGGACGTGTGACGAGGCATTGTCATGCAACAGAATGACACTTTCAGAGAGCTTTCCTCGACGTTTTTCCTTGACGGTTTTTCCGTGATGCTTTGCCTCAACTTCGTCAATAAAGCGCAGTAATATTTTGCATTGATGGTTGAATCCTGTTGGAGGTCCACCAGCAGAACTCCCTTCTTATCCCCAAAAAACTGTTGCCATTTGCTTCTGCACTGACCTTTGCACTTGGAACTTCTTTGGCCTAAGGGAACCACTGTGCCTCCATTCCTTAGACTGTTCCTTTGTCTCAGGATCATAACAGTTGATCCATATCTCATCACCAGTTACCAATTTGTCCAGTAAATCTGACTCATTTCTTGCAAAATGTTCCAAAACAGCCACCAATGACTCCACACGTTTCCTCTTTTATTCAGTTGTCAAAAGTTTGGGGATCCACTTTGCTGCCAGCTTTCTCATTTCCAAGTCATTGTGGATAATATGCACCAACTCACTCACGTAATATTCTCACATGTATAGCAATACTTTTGGCTGATATTCGGCAGTCCTCCATGATCATGTCATGGATGGATTTCACATTTGCAGGCACAGAGACAGAAACAGGCCTTCCACTTCTCACTTTCAACACCGAAATGACCAGTTTTAAAATTGACAACCCAATGTTTAACTGTTGCATATGAAGGGCCACTGTCACCCATAGTTTGTGACATTTCATCATGGATCTGCTTTGCACCTTTCCCTTGGAGTAACAGGAACTTGATTATGGTCCTATGCTCTTCCACATTGAACTGTTCTGAAGGTACTGCCATGTTCACTTTGGACCTGAACATGAAAGATAAGTTAAAATCATAGATAGTTGATTTTTGCACCATTGAATACTGACAAATTGGCCAATACACCCTTCAATTTATAGCTTCCTGGGTCAATTTTTTCTGGGAAAGGCTCAATATTTGTCAGCACCCCCTCGTATTTTTGCTACTACTATTCAATTTATATTCAAAGAACACTGTTAATGAAGCATTTGCTGATTCAAATGACTGTCAATGTTAACAGAAGTTATGAAGAACATCCAATATGCAGATTACACAATATTACAAGCTGACAGGTTAGACAGTTTGCAAAGATTACTCGAAGTCAATAAAGTAAGCTACCATGTTTTCCTGGATATAAGATAGGGTCTTATATTAATTTTTGCTCCCAAAATGCATTAAGACTTATTTTCAGGGGATTTTTTTATATTTTTCATGTACAACAATCTATATTTATTCAAATGCAGTCATGTCATCTTCCGGTTGCTGCACAATGGTGGAGGGCGGGGCTTCACTTAACTGGGGCTTATTTTTGGGGTAGGGCTTTTTGGGGGTAGAACTTATATTATGAGCATCCTGAAAAATCATACTAGGGCTTATTTTCAGGTTAGGTCTTATGTTAGGGGAAACAGGGTAGATATGTGATGGACAGATGGCAAAAGAGCTTGCACTGCTTATGTGACTGCTCTTCCACATTTGTGCAATTAAGGAGGATACTGGACATGTTTATGGAAGTGTCCTGAAAACATGGTATAGGGTAGTGATAGTGAACCTGTTTGAGCCTGAGTGCCCAAAATGCAAAAAATAAAAATCGTGGCAGCAGCGGAAGCAGGAATCCTGGGCATGGAGTTGCCTCCAGACCCCATTCTGGATCCACCTCCAGTTGTGTCCAACCCTGCCACTACCTATAGCTCGACTGTCCTGCTGCCACCAGCACCAGCTGCTCCGGATCCTGGCCCGCCATCCACCGGGGTGCTAGCGCTGCAGCTGCAGCCACCTCCTCAGGTTTGGCTGCCAGGGGTAGCAATCCAGCGACTTATGGCTCATGTGCCCACAGAGAGGGCTCTGTGTGCTAGCTGTGGCACGTGTGCCATAGGTTCACCATTACGGATATAGGTAAACTTAAGCTACCTTGTGTTTCCTTTAGTATAGTGGTCGGGGAACAAAGGTAAATTACCCCAAATGGGGTAAAATGAAAGTCCTGGGGGTAATGAGCAGAGCGCTACCCCCACATGCACACCCTGCAGCTGAACCTCAAACTGTAAGCCACCTATCCCTGCTACCTTCCTTCATTGCGGCACTTGCAAATCAGTTCTTTTAGAGATTGGAGATAAGGCTGCTTTATTGTTTATGGCTGTAGAACAGCCCAGGGCACTCAATCCAGGTTGTGAATAACTAGTTGTGAATCACTACTTCCGCCGGAGGTGGAAAGCTTCAATTAAGACGGGAAGATGTGAGAGAGGGACAGGTGGATTCATCAAGCTTGTTTAAAGGTTGTAGAAAATTGAGGGAGGGAGGGTGTATGTGTGTGAGAGAGACTGACTTTCATAAAACCATGAAAAAAGGACGTGACTGCAAGGAGAGAAGGCTCCAAAAGGTGGGAAGGAAGGTGCGAGAGAGGGACCGGGTGGTTTCATCATGCTTGTTTAAATGTAATGAGAAGAAATGGACATACTGTACTGAACTGAAGCAACTGATTGCTGCAAACTTAGGGTGTGTGTGTGTGTGTGAAAGAGAGAGAGAGAGAGAGAGAGAGAGAGAGAGAGAGAGAGAGACGTATAAAACCATGAAAAAAGCACCCTTCCAAATGTAATCTCCACTGCATTTAGCTCTGCAGTTTCTGCTGAGAAGAGCAAGTGATTCTGTTTAGATGCTGAATATGTACTGGGCAGAACTGGAATATTTAGAAGAGTCTCGCTAACAGCAAGCACCTAGTGAAAGACAACCAACACACCTGGGACTAGATGTCTGAAGTGTGTAGCAATTGCTTTTCTCTATTTGTCATCCCCAAAGCAGGCAAGAGTATCATAGTTTATTCCCCAAATCTGAATCCCTGTCTCTTTGTTCCTGGTCCTTTTGACTGCAACACAAAACAAAAGGTCTTACAAACAAAAGACTGCAGCTTTCTTTATTGAGTCAATCCATCTCATCTGCAGTCTTCCTCTTTCCCTGCTGCAATGCACTTTTTCCTGCATTGCTGCCTTTTCCAGTGAGCTTGTCTTCTCATGATGCCACTCTAGTACAATACCCTTTGTTTGGTTATTTTAGCTTCTCGTGAGAGTCCACACTTAATTTGCTTTACTTATCTTGCTGACAAGTCATGCTATCTGTAAAACTCTTTTCCAACACTACATTTCAAATAAGTGAAATGTGTGCATACGCTTTATGTAGTGTATAAAATGTGTATTAAAAGTCTGCATTCCTATATATAGCTGCTTTATGTCCAGGATTTCAATGTACTGTACAGTGGTGCCCTGCTAGACGCTTACCCGCTAAATGATGAAATCGCTTGACGACGACTTTTTTGTGATCGCCCTAGCCATCGCAAAAGATGTTTCCAATGTTTTTTTTTTTTTGCTGGACGTGGAATAGGTCTGTGTTTCGCAAACCGTTTGTTCGCAATACGACAATTTTTACGACATCGCAAAATGGTTTCCCGCTGTTCTCCAACCCATGCGTCGGAAGACAGCCATTAAAAACAGCTGATTGAATGGTTTCCCGCTGTTTTCTGACCCATGCATCGGAAGACAGCCATTAAAAACAGCTGATTGGCACTCAGAAAAGGGCTTCCCTATGGAGGATCTTTGCTGGACAATGAAGTAATTTTCCCATTGGAACACATTAACCAGTTTTCAATGCATTCCAGTGGGGATTTTTTTTTCGCATGACAATTTCGCTGTACAGCTATTTCAGGGGAACAAATTATCGTCGTCATGCGGGGCACCACTGTACTTAATAAGCTTTATAAATGTTGTTGTTGTTTAATTGTTAAGTCATGTCCAACTCTTCATGACACCATGGACCACAGCATGCCAGGCCCTCCTGTCTTCCACTGCCTCCCCGAGTTTGGTCAAATTCATGTTGGTAGCTTTGACGACACTGTCCAACCATCTCATAGTCTGACGTCCCCTTCTCCTCTTGCCTTCACTTTTCCCCAACATCAGGGTCTTTTCCAGGGAGTCTTCTCTTCTCATGAGATGGCTAAAGTACCGGAGCCTCAGCTTCAGGATCTGTCCTTCCAGTGAGCACTCAGGGGTGATTTCCTTTAGAATTGATAGGTTTGTTCTCCTTGTAGTCCAGGGGACTCTCAAGAGCCTCCTCCAGCACCACAATTCAAAGGCATCAATTCTTTGGCGGTCTGCTTTCTTTATGGTCCAGCTCTCCCTTCCATACATCACAACAGGAAAAACCATAGCTTTGACTATGTAGACTTTTGTTGGCAAGGTAATGTCTCTGCTTTTTAAGATGCTGTCAAGGTTTGTCATCACTTTCTTCCCAAGAAGCAGGCGTCTTTTAATTTTGTGGCTGCTGTCACCATCTGCAGTGATCATGGAGTCCAATTAAGTAAAATTTGTCACTGCCTCCATATCTTCCCCTTCTATTTCCCAGGAGGTGATGGGACCAGTGGCCATGATCTTAGTTTTTTCATGTTGAGCTTCAAACCTTTTTTGACATTCTCCACTTTTTAAATTCCTCCTCACTTTCTGCCATCAGAGTGGTATCATCTGCATATCTGAGGTGATTGCTATTTCTTCTGGCAATCTTAACTCCGTTTTGGGATTCATCCAGTCCAGACTTTCACATGATGTATTCTGCATAAAAGTTAAATAAGCAGGGAGACAATATACAGCCTTGTCGTACTCCTTTCCCAATTTTGGACCAAACA